CAAAAATGCACTTAAACACGTGGGGCAGCTGCCGAGGCACGGAGCCAAAGGGATTCACACTCTGCTCCAGCCCTCACTCCATCGTGGCCAGCCCTAGCACAGGAGCCCACAAACCAGCCTGCACTAATTTCTCCCCCGTGCCATCAATACCAATGACCTTTTATCTGTTCATCTGGAGAGGAGGCGAGCACAGGGCCACCTGTGGTCACCATGGAAACAATGGCATTTGCTGACTATATTCTTTTCCTTGATGCATGTTAAAGACTATTGGCAAGTGGAGGGACACCTGAGCCAAGGTGAGCTGATTAGAGGGTCTTGAACTAGTTGAGATAACTCTTAAATTTTAATCAGTGCATTTTCTTATTTGCTGCCAAAAATAAATTTAGATTGTAAATAAATGCGATTTTAGTGCATGCATGGCTGTAATTCAACCATGGCCACAAACTCTGCCAATGTTACACTAGCAATGTAACACAAAATATCACCAGAGACATTGGATGAACCTGATTTGCCTTTTGCTTCTTGAACCACACTTGTCTGGAAGCTGATGGGGTCCTCTGCAAGCACTCACTAGCAGAGCTGCACCAAAAGGAGTAGCAGTGCCCTGTTTTTGGGACCCACAGCCAAGCTGATGTGGCTGTGCAGGGCATGAGCTCCAGGGCAGTTCTGGCACACAGAAAGGGTTGTTCAACAAGCTCAGTCTGCTCTGCCAGGGGTTATGCTGCTATATAAAATAGGCCTCTTAGTTACATTTAGTGTTTCTCTACTTTCCTGTGTAAAGACAGTACATAACTGTGGTGTGAGGTCACCTGGGGCCCAGAGGTCAGAGCTCAGGGGCTCGACAAATGAAAGGTTAGAGCTCATGTTTTGGGCAAAGACACACAGGAACCAATAAACCAACATCAAACCCCTCCCCACAAGCTGGGTTTTTGTCCACCTCTGATGCACTGATCCATAAGAATTCCCTGCTCTGCAATGTTACAATTGTAAATAGTCAAGATACAGAATATTAAATAGAAGTGAAGGCATCTTAACCCACTATCATTACAGAAAACAAATGTGCAATGTGCCAGCCTCATGAGAACAAACACTTTGGGTGGGTGTTACATTTTTCTAGTAAATAGTAGAAAAACAAAAATGCAGGTTGCAGGTGAAGAAAATTAGTCACATGATCAGCTGGATGGAAAGGGAGACCCAGAGGAACAGAGAAAGAGCGTGCAAAGTAGGAAAGTATATAGAAGATTGTTTTACCTTTATTTTGAAGAGACATTGCTGTTTTAAAATGGCTTAATATTTGTAATTATCCCTCAGCCTGTATAGATCTCAGTAGATGCATGTATCACTCCTATGCATGCATCTGAACAAGCTGAAGCACAGCTGATGCTTCTCCTCAAGGTGAGGTGAGAAAGAGGAGGGTGCAAGGTGCCTGGGCAGAGCTGTGGGCACCTCCAGGTGCCTCAGCCTGAGCAGCTCATGGGATGCCCCAGACAGGGCCTGGTGGACAGTGGGGAATTGCCCAGAGGGTCTCTCCCCGTGCAGCTCCCCTTGTCCTGGGCAGCCCATTGCCCTCTATGTGAGCACCCATGCCCTGTGTCCAATGATGGAGGATGAAGAGGAGAAGGGGTGGGGAAAAGATGTAAAATGTCCAGTCTAGAGATCAAATTTGGGGCAACCTTCAGCCCTTACCTCCTAATTCTACATCCTGTCCTTCCCTGCACCTCATTACTCACAGGGCTGTCAAATCTGGACTCCAGCCTGCTAGATTAAGGACTGCAAGTTTATTTAAAAGGAAACAAAACAAAAACACACCAGTTTTCCTCATTACTGGCAGCCATCAGGATGGCTCTCTGCAGGACCACACAGGGAGCAGAGGCAGTGGCATGCTGACAATTAGCTGGCCAGCAGCATGAGCCTGGAGCACTGCAGGGTTTGGATGCTGCAGAGCATTTTCCAGCACTAACAAGGAGCTGGGCTGTCTTTGCTGGAGCATAGTTTTATAGTGTCCCACTCTGTCCCAAATCCTCCTGGAGCCAAGCCCTCTTCCAAGGTCACTGCCTGCTTGGGGGTGTGCAGCCCCCCAGTTCTGTGGGGACTGCAGGGGAGAGGAGATGGAGCCCAGGGGTGCACACTGGTACCTGCTGGGCTGCTCACCTGCACAGTGCCTGAGGATCCAGTCAGGGGGTAAGAGAGCCACCTCCACACAGGGATGCTGCCCTGAGACATCAGGGCAAGGAATCACCCACCTGGGCTGTGGCCGAGGGTCTTGGTGTGGGATGGGTGGCCCCTGTCCAAAGGAACTGGAATAGGATTTTACTTTCCTTCTGCTTCATTGCAAGGCACAATCAGGCTCTTTTGAAGATGTCTGGCTGAGTTTTGTATTATTTTTTTTTTCTAGACTTGAGTTGATGAGTATTGCCCAAAAGAACTATTATGTCCTGAACAAAAATGGGGAAATTCTTATGCATAAAATTCAGCTGAGCCATGACCCATAAAGGACCTCACACTGCTAATACTGTGTCAGACAATCAAGTTACATAATTCAACTGTACAAAAATAACAGATGCAGTTAGTTTAACTCACTAAAAATGCTAAACCTATGAAGAGACATAGAACATTTAGTGATCTGAAATCAGAATGAGGTAATTGCACTCAAATAAACTGCACCTCCACAATTCCTCGCATGCCAGCTGCCAGGGAGTTTAGGAATGCCCCTCAGCCAGTTTGGCTGGAGAAGATGGAAGCACTGAGCAGGCTCCAGGTAAGTCAAATGACTCTTTGGATGCATTATCTTGTTGAACTGTGACAGTTTTAAACTCAGACTAAGCTGGATCTTGTTCTGTGACTAGGTAGACAATGTTGTATCACTGATGAGAAGAAAGTCTGTATTTTTGACTATCTCTGCTTATAACCTGAACTGTGGAGAACTCCTAATCTCCACTTAGAGAGTGAGGTTCTCAAGGTGTACAAACCCTGAGCAAAGATTAGCAAACACACACACACACATACTCTCCTGTGTATAAATACATTCTAAAATGTGTCAACACACACTGAACCTGTCTGCAAGGACGAGACAGATCTGGGCACCTTTCTCTGGTTGATACTGAACACAAAACGTGGCTGTGCATGTGCACAAGAAGCAAAGTGTAATTTGTCTCAGGGAGCTCCTGTGCCTTTTCCCGGTGTGGTTCAGCCCCAGCTCTGACTGCCTGGGCTGCTGCTCCAGCTGCTCAGGCTCCTGCATGCCTTCAGGCTTTCATTCCAAGAGCACTTCTGGTGCCAGAGGGTTTTGGCAACAGTTATAATGTGAATGATTACTTCCATTGAGGAAACCATCGGTGATAACAGCGATGAGAAGGTGTGTGTGGTGTAAACCACAGCTTGCTGAGGGCAGTAGAGCATGGGGGTATGCAAGGACAGGCTCTAGGTGCTGCTGGGGGGAAGCTGCTCTGCAAATGAAAGAATGGCATGTTGGCAGGGGAGTGAATGTGTTAAGCAGAGTTTAACCCCTCAGCAGCTCTGTGAATAAAATGTTTTCAGACCTGGCCTGAGCTAGGTGTTCACTCAGCTAATGAAAATGCTGTACCCCTCTGTCTGACCAGCCTGGTGTATTCACCAGGCATGGCTGTGAAAGGAGGTATATTTTTGCCACGTCTGTTGTCGCGTTGCCTAATACCAATGTGGACATTATAAACCCAAGCCAATGAATTTAAATTTTATTTTCTTACCCAGCTGCCCAAGCCAGCTTACATGCTGATCAGTATCTGCTGCAGCCTGGGAATAATCTGGCCCCAGCTCCTTGGGCAGGGAAGTAAATCCTTACTGACATCAATGAACTGAAAAATTCTGAGGTCTGGCAGTGACAAAGGGAATAGTGAATGAAAGCAGTATTTCCTTATATTGATCTGCCTTTCCTGCTCATCTGCTAATAACGTTGGCTGTTTACCCTTTGTAATAAGCTGTGATAGGTGCATTCACTGGCCTTAGCAGTTCTCCCAGTATTCAGGAAACAGGGAGCCCCCAAATAAAGGAGCTGGCTAGAACCACATAAAATTAAGCATGTTAAATATTTTAAAGTTTGCAGTTCAACCACTTGAGTGATTGAATGCATATTTAGATCTTGATTTTGCTCCCAAGATTTTCTCCACATGATATTTAAAGAGCCTTGAACCCAGTTTACCAGACAGGAGAACACATGGGAAGGGAACCCTTTTATAGCCATTTTCTGAGTTTTTGGAGATTGTTCTACATGGGAACTCAGGGAGACACCAGTATCTTTGTCTCACCTCAGTAATCCCTACCATTGAAGGGTGTTGGATTTTAACCCACTTTTTATATTTTTGCTTTGACTGGTATTTCTCAGGCTTGTATTGTGTATCATTGAGGGTAGTCATGTGTACTCATTTTATCCCAAAAGTAAAAGTTCTTTGTTAAGTTCTTTGTTAAGAGATTTGGCACATTAAAGATAAGGGATTGCTTCTGAGTAGCACCTACACAAAGGATGATTCAACTGCCTGAAGTAAATTCAGATGACAAAAAAGTGGGTACAGCAAAGGTTTATAAAATCAAGAGAGTCATGGAAATAATTATTTGGAACAAGAATTTAAGAACTCAGTGCATGGTCATATAACATGGAGTGAAATTGTGGAACTAAATGGCCCTGGATGTTCTGGATATCAAAACCTTACATGGCCTTAAAAACTGATGATGCAAAGTCATGGATGAGAAGGAGAGGGAAAATCTATGAGACTATAAACAATAACCAGGATACCAGCCCTGGCTCAGTAAATTGGAGCTGCTGGGTGCAAGAAGCTGGAAAGTTGTGCTATAGAAGCAGCAGCATTTAGAAACCATTTTCTGGTCCCTTTTGTAAGTGTCTGTTGCTGGTGGAGAAGGAACAGTACCTCCCCTAGACAGGACAATTGCTCCGGTTCCCATGTATACTGTAGCTCAGGCTCAGTTAAAAAAACCAAAACAAACCCCAGAGAAACACAGATACATACCTTATTAACAGCTTGGGTGCTCCCCTGGGAAGTGAAGATGTGTGTTGTTGTTACACGTAAAGTCCCAGCTCTCAGGCTGTCACAGCTCTCGGCTGTCCGGGGGATTCCATACCTTCTCTCTCTCTCTGTTTGGCTGCAGCGTTGTTCTTCCCTCTCTGCTGGGGCTCTTCTTCTGTCTTCTCAGGGGCTCCTCTTGGGCTCTTGACCCACCCCTATTTATCTCAGTTACCCTCACGAGCTACAGCTGTTGCCCAACTAAGGACCCTGCAGCTGCAGCTCGTTTGGAGTAACTTAGACACACACTGATCTCACAATACAACATGTATTCAGGCCCCCACAGTGTGTCTGTCCTGAGGAGTGGGAAGCTGATGTTAATCACACCTTGACATGGGGCTGTATTGTGCTGTTCACCTGGGATCCTTAATGCCCATGGCAAGATGAGTTGGTCTTTGCTGGAGGAAAAACCAGAACAACAAGTTAGAGGACATTTTTTTGGGAAGATCCTATGTTTCAGTTTCTTTCAGTTTGATACAAATTAGAGAAGAACTAGTTCTACATGTAGAGTAAATCTCTAGCACCTGCAGTCCTCTCAGCTCACAGGCTGCAGTGTCCTGGCCACAGGCCCCTGTTCAGGTCTGGGGGAGCCAGACAGCTTGAAGTGATGATATTTTAAATACCCTCAGAAGAACAATTGGAGCTTGCCCCTCTGACCCCACAGATGACTGGGTATGTTCACTTAAATGAATATGACTTATACTAATTTTTAAGAGTTTTTACAAACCGGTCACAGATATGCAAATTCTATAGTCAATAGATGCAAATAGAAGTCCATTAAATCCAAAGGTGAAATACAGAACCCAAAAAAAGAGTTCACTACATAAAACCTACTCTGCCACGCTCATATTTCACCTTTTTACCTTTTGCTGGTGTAATAGGATGGCCCTATGAGAAGATGAGTATATTGTTTCGTTCCTTTTCATACACAGAGTAAGACTTTGGTCAATAAATATCAATTAGAAAAAAGTCTTAGATCTAGAGTATTTTCTCATGGTGCTGAGGTCTGGACAAGAGTTAGATAAGGACAGAAAGGCTAAAGACACTCAAACCTGAGGCAGAATGAGAGATTGCAAAGAATGTGGTTGTATGCCAAGACCAGAGCTAGCTAAGACAGACTAAACCAAATGCATTTGAGATCATTCACAAGGATAGGACTACCAAGAAAAATATACACATTAGTGCAATCAGAGATTTAGGTGAATCTGAATAAACCCCCTTCAATTTATCACAGTTGCCATTCCAGTAGTTCATTGGGCTTTTTCCCAATAGTAGTTTCCCATGTTTATTTTGGCACTTGTGGGGAAAATGTCAATGAGAGAACTACTGTTAGTGTGCCCTGCTGTGTGACTTTGAGTTATTCCAGTACCACAGCAGCCTCTTTCCAACAGATTAACATTCAGATACTGGGGGAGTTCACTCAGTTCTTATAAATCTCTATAGAAATTTTATTAACTTACAGCTTTTATTATTTGGTGGGCCACCTATGAAATGAAACCAGATTGCTTACATTTTTTAAAGACAGAAGAAGTTTTTTTAAGTGCATAAAATATATGCTTTTCTGGAAAGTTTAAAGTGCTAATTTCTGAAACAGTGGCACTGGGGAATTCAGTTGTTTTTTTGCAAAAAAATAAACAACCCCCAAAACAGACAGACATGCAAAACCCCACAAGTTAATTGTCCCCTTATTGGATTTTCCCCCATTTTTTGCTCTCATTAAGAGAAATATGTCATCACAAAAACAAATTTAAAAAAATAAAAAGGATGGGTGCAAAATTAAGGCACAAGGTTGGCACTTGAAAGGTCTGGTTTCGGTTCCTGGCTCTGTCAAACATTTCCTATGTGACCTTGTAAATGTCACTTTTGAGCATGTAAAACCATCTGGCCTGATCTAGTGAAACATGTATTTAATTTTAAGATGCAAGTAGCTCCCCTTACATCTCACAGGCTTAAATTTAAAGACATGTTTACATGCTTTGCTGGTCGGGAGCCACGATGCTCAGCCTCTTGCAGGGAGAAGGATTCCCCTCTGCCTGCAGCATCCCAGCTGCAGAGCCAGCCTGAGGAATTCTTGGTCTCTTTGGCTCCAAGCTCTCCCAAGCAGAGGCAGTGGCTCCCTGTGCATGAGCAGAAGCAGCACAGTGGGGTTTCCACTCTGAGGGCAGGAGCAATGCCTAGAACTGCCATGATAAAAGCTGTAAATTCAGATGCCTTCATTGTAAATAAAAATCTGCATTTCAGCACTGAAACACTGGCCTGGTTTTTCAGAGTTGCTGAGCAACCAACACGCTCATCAGGTTAAGAACCCACAAATGTTTTGTGGTTCAGAAAATGAGGTCACTTATTTGGAGGCTAAAAATAGATTTTGAACCCCAATTTCAAAACTTGAAACTTTGCCTTTGTGCCTTAAGTGTACTGTAAATATCCTGTCCTTTTCCACTATAGTTAGCCATAGACTCCAACTTCATATAAAATTCAGATTCAGAAGCAAAAATACCCTCATTTAGCCATTTCACTGTTAACTAAATGTAATTAAAAAGAGTAGAATTCCACTGAGACATTTTAAATAGTTATATAATGTACATATGTGTGTACACATGTTTTTAATGTACATAGTATATACAATGTTATTTTATGGCATAGCAGATGTTTCTTAATTCCCTGACACCATGCACTGGAGTTAGACTATGCCAGCCTATTTTATTATGAATAATGTGCCTGCTCTGTCATTAAGTGGGTTATTAAAGACATAAACAAAGTTTTATGCCCTGCTTTTCAACAGCTGCTGGTGGTCTACAAAGTGATAATCCTGCTTTCAGCAAATATTCTTAGGCTTTAAACTAAAATAAATAGATTTCATAGGCAACCAGTTGACTCATGAGTGGGCAGATGGTAACTCTGTGACGTCTCCAGTGTCATGGAACCAGCAGTGGCATTATTTCTGAGAGAAGCCCTTCAAGCACAGGCTGGGAATGAGATGGCTGCTCCATACATCATTTCTTCCTCCACCACACAGCAATTTCTACACTAAACAAACAAGCCTGACTGGCATTTATTTCAGCAGCAACAGCAGGGGAGGAAAAATTTAAAAGCAAATGTTTATTTTAAATGAACAAATAAACATGTCACACACACACACAAATCCAGTACATGCAACAACAACTGATTTTTCCCTTCCTAATGAACTATGTGGCAAAACCACAGTTGCAAATCTTGTAGCCTCAGCCTTGGAGAAAATGATCTGGCTGGGCTGGATAACTTCACCCAGAAGGGCAGAGGGGACAGGGAAGGTGAGGTGTCCGTGCTCCGCCACGGGCGCGGTGCCTGTTCATTCAAGCGGATGTGACCCCACACGGCAGAGCCCCAAAGGTGTGCAGGGAACAGCCTTTATTCTTATAAATGGGACTGATGCCAGGCCAACCAGTCCCCCTTGCTTTGGACTTCCTAAAGAAAACAGCTTCAGACAGCTGAGCAGAAGAGTTATGGAGAGTGCTGAGATAGGAAATATCTACAGTTCCTGATATATTATGATTGGCCCCGGGAATGAGGAAGCCAAGAGACGACGGTAGTGCTAAAGGGTGCTAAACCGTACGGTGCTAATGTACACAACAACATCCTCATACAAGCAGATGTTTAAAAAAAAAAAGGGGGAGGGGGGATGGAAATTGTATTTAGACCACGTTGCACTCACCCTAGGGAGGAAAACTAAAAAAAGAGAGAATGTGGAACCAATTTTCAAGCTTGAGCAACTGAAAGTCTATTAAATGATTCTGTCATCAACATGAGATGAGAAAAAAAAGTAATAATTTATACAACAAATTAGGTAATTGTAGCTGCACGGACAAATGATATTTCTTCCCTGATAACTGAATAAACATTGTTACAAGAGGAAGGTTGTAAGGAAATAGCCACTTTAGTGAACTACAAGCACCAGGTCTCCTGCTTCTGTTCATATTAAAAGACAGGCATTGAGGACTGAGGGACATGCATGCTCTGGATCACAAATATTTTTATTTACTTTGTTCCTTTCTTTTTTTTAGGAAACATATTTGACTTATTAAATATGGGCTCATTGTCATATAATAGAAGCAATCTCAGCATGATTACTACATCATGCCAAACTCAAGTGAATTTCTTTTCTAGAGAGACAGCAATGTAAACTGAAGGAATTACAGGAACAGTATGGAAACCGCACAATTTACTTGCTTATTGACTCTTGTTTTCTTAATTACGAGCTGCATAGAAGGTAACAAAACAACACAAACTTGTAGCAGATATACAGAGAAAATAAATAATGGGAACAGAGCAGAGGCAAGTTGGGGTAATGTGAGGTAAGAGACACTACCTTCTGGATCATCACCAAGAGTACTGGAATAGTGCAGTGGTCAGCTAGGGTCAGTGGAAGGACCAAGAGAGCAAACTCAAAAACACTGAAAACCCAGTGTACAGAGCACATGTGGGAATGCACAGATAGAATGGTTAAATTCCTAAGTTTTGGGGCCTTCACATTTTTGTTTTCTTTTCTGTCACAGACTTCCTGTGGGATACTGGGCAAGTCACTTAATGGCTTTTACGCCTTTGTATTGTTCTATTCAAGATTATACTGGATTTTGCCTGTGGAGACCAGGCCCTTAGTGCCAGAAATCTTTCTAGAAGGGTCACTGTTGGAGTAAAATTTCTTAAAAAACTTAACCTAGGAATTTGCAACTTGCAATACTGACCTTGACACACTACCCTTCATTTTAGTGCAACTCTGTACAGATTTACTTGGCAGGGATCGTCTTAAGCACAGGCCCAACTAAGAACTCACCTTCCTTGGGGAAAAAAGAAAAATTCAGTTCCCTGGCCAGGGCATGAATCTCCCATGCAATGATGCACCAGCCCTGTGTGAGGAGGAGGGTGTAGGACAAGGCTGAGTTGAGGGTTTGGTTGTGTGAGCTGTTAAATCCCTGCCCCGTCAGTAGCACTAGGCGTGCGCTCAGAGATCAGCCCTTGCCAAGGGCTGTGCTGGCAAAGAGCTCAGCTCCCTGT